TAGCACGGCCAATCCACCCTAACCTGCACATCCCTGGGCACCATGGGGCAATTTAGCACAGCCAATCCACCCTAACCTACACATCCCTGGACACTATGGGACAATTTAGCACGGCCTATCCACTCTAACCTGCACATCTTTGGACTGTGGGTGGAAACCAGAGCACACGGAGTAAACCCAATCAGACACAGGGGGAACGTGTGAACTCCACACAGTCACCCAAGGCTGAAATCAAACTCGGGTCCCTGGCGCTGTGAGGCAGCAGTGCTAAGCACTGAGCCACCTTACCGTCCTTTCTTGGGCACATGTCTGTCCATCCAGCTTGGCGTGGCCAATTCTAACGATGGGTAAGATTCAAAATGCAAACCTGCCTTTACTATTTAAAACACCGGCCCGTGTACTGTGCGCATTTCTGCTCACAAACCAAAAATATTCAATTCCTGACAAAACAATCCAACAAAACCACAATGCTACCTAGCGAAAGACGACAGACTTTGTGAGCAATCACACAAGCTTTACAAGAAATTGAATCATCTTTAGAAGATTAGACCATCTTTTCCAGCCGTCAATGTGTCACTTTTGCCTTAACGTTACAAGATTAAATTCACCGTGTCACATACCCAAATGTCACCTTCTATTTTCCGAATGACAGTCATCTTCCTGTTGCCGTGGGTGATATCCGTATAAACGGGGATATTGTGCATCCGGGAACGCCGGATGAAGTAGGGCAAGTCAGGAGGTGGATCTATAAAAACATTAAAATATTAATCAAAGCATTCTTTGCCAGAAGTAATCGCAAGACGTTCAGTGGGCTTTGCAAAAGCATTGCGCTGATACTGAATTTCAGTCCCTGAAGAACATTAGTGAGCCAGACATGCCTCTGACAATGCACAAGCTTGAGGCAGGACTGATATTTCTTATTCCAGAATGGGGGAGCAAATTACTGCAGGTGTTGCAACCTTTACCGGAAACAAAAAGTGTTGGAAATCACAGCAGGTCAGGCAGCGTTTGTGGAGAGCAAGCTAACTTTTCAAGTCTAGACAATTTGATTTATTGTTATTATGTGTATCCAGGTACAGTGAAAAGTTTTGCTTCGTGTGCAGTACAGGCAGACCATAACACACAAAACACAAAGATCACAGGGTGATTGAACACGGCGAGGAGTGCAAATTTACAGCCGCAAAGAACGTGTAGCTACAGCAAGATCAACATCAGATTTGAAACTTCATTCAGAAGTCTAATAACAGCAAGGAAGAAGCTGTTCTTGAATGTGTTGGCACATGTGTTTGAGCTTTTGTACCTTCTGCCCGACAGAAGAGGGCGGAAGAGATTTTCACCGGGGTGGGAGGGGTCTTTGATGATGTTGGCTGCCTTCCCACAGCAACGACTCTTCATCAGAGCTGACATGAAGTATGGAGGGGGCAGTATTTATGCTATAGTAGTTGGGTGGAATGCTGGGAGAGAAAGGATGTTGATCGTTCACATAAGCTGATCAGATTGGCAGAACAGTGGTGTTTCCAACTACCAAACTGGAAAGAACAAATTACTGCAGACGCTGGAATCCGTACTAAAAACCCCGCTCAATGTAAGACGTCAACATGGTAACTTTGAGATAGCAAGAACTGCAGATGCTCGAGTCTGAGACAATGCACTGTGGAGCTGGAGGAACACAGCAAGGCCAGGCAGCATCAGAGAAGCAGGAAAGCTGACGTTTCAGGTCGGGACCCTTCTTCAGTGCACTGAGTATAGAGGTTGGTAGATCATGTTGTACAGGACAATGGTTAGACCACTTTTGGACTATTGCGCTCAACTCTGGTCTCCCTGCTATAGGAAAGATGTTGTGAAACTTGAAAGGGTTCAGAAAAGATTTATGAGGATGTTGTCGGGGTATGAAGGGTTTGAGCGACAGGAACAGGCTGAATAGGCTAGAGCTATTTTCCCTGGAGAATTGGAGGCTGAGGGGTGACTTTACATAAAATCATGAGGGGCATGGATAGGGTGAATAGACAAGGTCTCTTCCCCAGGGAGTGGAGTCCAAAACCAGAGGGTATAGGTTTAAGGTGAGAGAGGAAAGATTTAAAAGGGACCTAAGGGGCAACTTTTTCATGCAGAGGGTGGTGCGTGTGTGGAATGAGCTTCCAGAGGAACTGATGGAGGTGGGTATAATTACAACATTTGAAAGGCATCTGGATGGGTATGTGAATGGGAAGGGTTTAAGAGGGATATGGGCCAAATGCTGGCAAATGGGACCAGATTAATTTAGGATATCTGGTCGGCATGGACGAGTTGGACCGAGGGGGTCTGTTTCCGTGCTGTGCAACTCTATGACTTCACAAAAGAGATACAGGACAGGGAGGCAGCGCTTATGACAATCAACCAGGGTTCAAGCAAGGAGAGTCAGAGGAATTTAAACAGGTGAGTCTGGAATAGTGAGGGAGGCAACTGAGAACATCTAAACTAGAACAGTCAGGACAAAGCGAAGGATGCACACAGGAGGCTTGAAACAGAAAATGGGAGTGGTCGGCAAGGGATGGTATTGAAGCAAATTGAGAGGTGGTGGGATTAACACAATGCAGTTTAATTTCAATATAGATAGTTTGCTAAGAATAAGAACAGTGCATAATGTAGTTAAGATATAAGCTAGTTACTTTTTTAAATGTAAAATGACTAGTGGTTAATGTAAAAAAAAACGGTTTAAACCAGAGAAAGAGGCAAAATGGATTTGCTGTCAATGATACTGACCTCGAGGTGGGCACCAGCCTGATGGTGTGGGGTAGTGATCATGTTTCGGAGGAACAGGTACTGTGGTAGGTGGAATCAATCTCTCCACAAACTTAAACTCCTCCGTTGACTCTATAATTCCTGGATATTTAGGATCGGAACTTATACAATTGGTGTAGTTCTAGGAAAGAACAAAAATATCACATTCAGTGTTGAAGGATGAAAGCTACAGAGCTTGCAGTTATGATTAGTAAGTGCAGACAATTTTCTTTTTATCCACCAGTGCCTGATAATTTCAGCTACCAACAGGGTATGTTGTAAAATAACAGCCTTTCTACCCATCTCATAGATTTACACAATCACTACAGTCCAGGAAGAGGCCGTTCAGCCCATGAAGTCCACACCAACCCACCAACAAGCATCCTACCCAGACCCATGCCCCCCACCCTATCCCTGTAATCTTGCATTTCCCATGGCCAATCTCCCCTAACCTGCACATCCCTGGACACTACGGGACAATTTAGCACGGCCAATCCACCCTAACCTGCACATCCCTGGGCACTATGGGACAATTTAGCACGGCCAATCCACCCTAACCTGCACA